GCAACGTTCGCTTCGAAGTGAGCAAAAGAGGTGAACAGAAGTCTGTTCAGGAATGTTCCTTTGCCATGTGATGTTCGATGAGCTGACCGAGTCGCAACGTTTGCTTCGAAGTGAGCAAAAGAGGTGATGTACGAAGCATATATGCTTGTGTGATTGAGAAGAATAATGTGGGTATTGTGTGGTTCAACGGGGTGATCATGTGGGAAACCAGTATTGCAACGCAGTGTGGAATTTGAATGTTAAAATGAAACTGATGACCTTTTTTTTTTGGTTTTTTTTTTGGTCACCGGTTTAATTTTTTGGTTTCTTCCTTTTTTGGATTTTGTTGTTTTGAAATAAACTTTCGTGGTTCTGGTGAAGTTTGACTTGTTGTTTTCGTGTGCCAGTTGGATGATTATTCCATTTAGTAGGACTTCACTGCTTTTTTGCAGTTGTGATTCTGCAAGAGTATTAGATGAAGGTGACATTTCTAGTGTTGATGGTTCCCTAGAATCCTAAAAGAATGAATAGTTTATCTTACATTTTGTGGAATCCACATATATTTACGGAGAGTATAGTGAGTGTAAGTTTAGTTGTTAGGTTTGTGCGGCACCGTGTACCCCATCTCCCCTCTCCATTACAGACATAAAACAAAGAAACTAACACTTTTTTTTTTGACATGTAAATTTATTGTCCCTATGATATAAGGTTGACAAAGTGATGTTTAAAAAAAAGAAACTTTAAGAAAGTCATAATAACAGTAACAATAAGAGTAACAGCAATAAGATAAGAAAAACATATGATGAAGATAAATTAACAGAAGATAGAAAAAATTAATAAAAACATCAGTTATACGAGTGAAGTACATGTGAACACTTATAAACATTACGACAATAGACTATGGCGACATCTTTTAAACGTTATACATATAGTAAACAGAAGTGCGTTTCGAAATAACAATACAATGGTGTTACTCTAGATGAATCATATATGTGTTCAGTTGGGTAAAAAAAGAAAAAAGATAAAAAACACATGTAGTTTTACAGTTTATATTTATATATTTATAATTTTCAATTTACAATGTAGCAACTCATGTTTCCTGCATCAGATATTTATAGACAAAGGTATGTATAGGGAAAGATGAATGTTTGAAGTACCCATATTGCTGAGCGTGAATTGATAAAAAGTTAATCATATCTATTTTCGAATGTTGAGCCCTTTCAGATAATCTATTCAAAAGTTTGCTGTTTTTTCGCATACCCATGGACAGATACCAACATCTTTGTGGGGTTTTAGATGCTAGATATGCAGTAAAAGTAAGTTGATATTGGTGTGCTTCTGCTGATGTCACAAGGTGTTTGTTAAACTTTAACCAATATCTATATAGATAGTCGTTTATCGTGTACTCTTTAGTTAAGGTGTATACTGTTATGTCGTCCCAACGCTTCAAATTATGTGTTATACGTAGTCCTGTACAGTAAACATGTTCTATTAGTGTTTGTTGGTTTTCGGTGTAGAAAAACCAGCACGAGAATAACCAAATTATATGCGGAAGCGCATAAGCAAAAAATAATTTTCTTCGTAGATGTATTAGAGATAGAGGTATTTTATTGAATATAATACGTAGGGCATGATATATTTTTCTAATTATTTGAAGACGTTTTACTATATAGATACCCCATCCTAGTTTTGTTGTTATGTCGACTCCTAAATATTTAAATCGTTTTACGAATTCGATGGGTAACTCTTTATATTTTATTTTAGGATATGGTGGTGCTACAACATCGTGTACTAGCAGTGCTTTTGTTTTGTTTATATTGACAGGAAGTAAGTTATCATCGGCGTATTTTGCTAGAATTCTCATTGCAATCTCAGCCTGTCTTTCAAGTTCAGTAATATTTTTGGAGAATGTATTCTCGAGCGCACCAGAGATAATGATGGCAAGGTCATCGGCAAATAGATGACACACTAAGTTCATGAAATATGAGGGAAGAAAATGGACGTGCAAGCGAAAAAGAGTAGCTGCCAAAACAGAGCCTTGTGGAGTGCCAACAAATAATTTAATAACACGTGAAACTGCATTTCCGACATGAATCGACATTGTTCTGCCGTTTAGCCATGAAAAAATCCATCTTAGTAGTGGTGGTGGAAATTCGAGCTTAAGAAGTGTTTTGAGGAGAGCAGGGTGCCACATTCTATCGAAAGCTGACATAAAATCTACAAAAATTACTAAGGATGGTCTGTTGTTTGCTGCAGTTGCTAATCTAAGATCTTCTACTAGTGATAGAATGCGGGTTTGTAAACGTCTTTCGGCAGTAAATCCGGATTGTTCGTCTATAAAGATGTCATTTTCTCTACACCATTTAAGTATACGACCATGAATTATTCTTTCAAAGCATTTACCGAAATTCGAGAGGAGTGAGATAGGTCTGAGCTTGTTAACTTCTGGATACATTCCATCTTTTGAGAGACATATTGTTTTCGCGTGTTTGCTACTACGAAGTACTTCTCCCGTCTCGGCAATTTTGTTAAAAGCAACTGTAATTATTTGTAAATATTCTAGTGGTATTTGATGTAGTAAGAAAGCTGATAAACCTTCTGTATCTGTTGATTTCTTTTTTTGCGCACGCTTCCAATTTTTTTCTACTTCTATCAATGTGATTTTTTCTAGTGGTATATTAGGTTGTTTGGTAAAAACATCATATTCTTTCATTGCATCTATATGACTTATATTATTAGGATCAATGATAGGTGTTTCGAAATGTTTTTCATAATAATTAGCAAGTGTGTCCGCTATTATTTGATGGTCTTTTATTATACCATTGTTTGTGGTAAGCCCTTTAAATGAAGGTGCATATGGATGGAATGTTGAATGCACGTATTTCCATATGTTATTTCCTTGTGATATGAAAGAGTTTCTTTTTTCTATTTTTTCCTGTAAGAATAAACTTTTTTCATTAAAATATAGATTTTTCCAGTATAAATATTCCTCAAGATTTCTTTGTTTTTTAGATCTTCTATATTTTCTTCTTGCTTTATTTAGATTTCTTGCTAGCTGTACAAGGTAAAGTGGCCATGGTGGTCGATATTTCTTTACTGGTATGTATATGCTCACTCTGTCCCATGTAGAAGAAAGAAAAGATGCGAACAGATCAAGAAAAGTATTTGTATCGAAATTGTAAACGAGAGAGTTGAAATACGGGAAAATAGATTTAAGAAAAAATGCGAACACTTTCCAGTTTGTTTTTCTGAAATAATTAGTAGCACCTGTGGAAAATGGTGATTGTATCAATACAGGATAGTGATCAGATGTCCCTTCCTTTATTACTTCAGCCTTCCAGCCATCCGCATTGTGGGTAATTCCAAAGTCAATTACCGCAGTTGATCTTTTTGATGTTGGTTGATTTGGGTAAATCATCTCACATCCTGTATTGTCAAGCCAATTTCTAAGTTGTACTCCACTAGCGTTATTATTAGTACAAAGCCAATCGGTATGTTTTGCGTTATAGTCTCCAAATATATAAAACGATTTATCAACATATGTATCGAAAATATCTTGTGGGATAGGTTTACCAGGGGGTATATAAACAGCACCCAATTGCATTGGTTTTGGTAATATGTCAAGCTCAACGAGTAAAAAGTCGTTTTTTTGGGTAATTAATTTGGTTTTGAGAGTTTTATGAAATAGTATCGCTACCCCTCCAAAGGCATTGTCACCTTCTTGACTAATCCAATAGTAACCGGAAATTTTTGGTAACTGTTTTATTTTCGAGCCCACGCCGGTTAAGATTAATATTTGAGGAGTATAAGTTGTTAGGAGAATATCGAGATCAGCAATATGAGTACTTAAACATTGACAATTGTACAGTATAATAGAGAGATTTTCATCGGTTCCTAAGGGTCTGGCTTTTTGATATATTTAGTTTATTCAATCTGTAACTACGTGTAATTTTAAGTGAATCAAATAAAATATGATATTTTTCGTTTCATAAGAATTTCTGGTTTACTATAACTAAATGTTAGAATTTTACTCATTTATTTAACCGATCTCGAGGAGGGGTGGACAATATCCACCAAAATCGAGAAATTGTTTCACTTCAAGTAGAAACCCTTCACCCCACACAAAATTCAGCAGAAACGTTTCATTAGCTCAAATGAGCGAGTGGATCAATATATTTAATCTCAATAGCATTTCCATTATCAACAGCAAAAACGAATGATATACAAAGAGAAATCGATCAGGTATGTGAAGAAATGATTATTATTTTTTTTTCTATTTAAGGTGTACAACATCAGCTTGATAATCGACAAACGCCGATCAAAAACGTCGATCACCACTAAACAAACAATTTTCAATATGCATATTCGAGCGAAATAAACATTGGAAACAACGCATTCACATGAAATTTAAACACTGGAACTATTGCTAAAAACTGATGCTATATTTTTTCATTTCTCCGCGCTGAACCATTTTTCTTTATAAATAAACAATTTCTCCTTGAATTGAAATATATTAAAGACTAGCCAATGAGAAACATTTATGCATTCTAGTACATTTTCGTTCTTTTTTAATTTCTCCTTGACATATATAATTGTGTGTGGGGTGATCCATTTCAGCGTAAACTGGAACAATTTCCCCATCGATTAGACCCGTTGTCCACTGCTGCAGATGAAAACCTAAGATGATTAATAATCTCAAAACGTGTTGTCACTCTTATTCTTAATACAAGTTGGAATTAAAGAACATGGCAATAAGTAAACATGACGTAATTCAATGTTCTCTTCTCAAAATCAAATATTTCTTCAACAAAAGCTTCATCGAAATTAGAGTTACGATGGCACACATTAGAATCTATTTTAAAATTTGAATTTTATCAATTGACGTAGATCGAAAAATAAATAAATGGCATATTAGAACTGCCTATTCTCATAGCAATACTCTACCAAAGTTTTTTTTAAGTAAAATATGATCTAGATCAGCCAGATTCTTTTTTTGTTTTCATTTCGAGCAAAAAAAACAATATTTTTGATTTATAGTTTAGTTACATGTAACTAAACTACATGCATAAGTTTTTTTTACGAGTCTTTTATTTTAATGTATTAAGTACATTCCAAATTTTTTGTCGGATTTCACTAGTTTCTCCATTAAAATTATTTGTAATAATTGAAAAAACTTTATGATTTACGTAGCCAGCGTATGATAAGGCATTGTTGATATATCCACTTTTCATACGAATTCCATTAATAGTGGGTAATGCACGTTCATATAATGAAAACCACGATGCTCGTTGGCGAACATCATATAAAACACGTGCAATAGCCCAAGTTGTTATACGATTTTCAGGTGATAAACCTGAACCATCCGAAGTTGCTACTGCTATCTGTTCAATACCGTGCTCAGTTTCACAATAAACTGGTAATACACTATTAAAACTTGAATTATTCATGGCGGCAATAGTTTTAACAAGTATTTCTCCATACATATTTATACTAGCTTGTTCGAACCAATAGATAATATCGCTCATTGATGGAGATTGATGTATATCGAGCGTAGTTCGATTAGTAGCATTGACTTCTTTTTGATAAATAACGGTGATGGGTATCGTATTAGGCCATTTCACAGCCTGCCGAAACTCATAAGCGATAGATAGGGCTGGATTTGGTACAGCACAGCCTATTGAAAATTTTTTTCCTGAATCAATACCTAGCGAGCCACGTAGATATCCATAGGTTCCATCAGGTGCTAAATATAAACTAGTAAGATCTCCAATGCCTGGTGGTCCCGTAGTGAGTTCATTAATTATAGTCACCGATGGTGGCAAATGATCAATATCGACAATAGTAACAGGATCACCAATAGCAAGACCTGGCGAAAGTATAATACGAAATTGATTTTCACGCCAATTTAATGCACTACTACCGGCACCAAAGTAATTCCTATGAATATCTAACTAATTCGAATAACGAGAAAGTATCAATCAATCTTACCCTATATCTCCCCATGTATATCCATTTGGGAGTGTTTGTGTTTGACCTGACCATACGCTTAAATCCAATATGATACCTCGGCAAGTCTTTATTCCTTTGTTATCTATTAAACTCAACCAACGTTGCAGTATGCTTTCACTTGTAGTTTCGTTCCATCGCCAACTACCTAAACTTGGATCACCAGTTCCTATTCATATACATAAAAGTAAATCTAAGGGAAATAATCTTCAAATGAAATTAAAGCACTTACCTACAATATAAACAAATCCATCCAAATCACCAAATGAATTGATTACTCCAGAATATTGTAGCAATGTTTTGTATCGATAATCTTTACCCAAATAATGAAATGCAGCTGCGCCAGTTACAGTTTTTAAAGTCGATGCAGGCGCCAGACCCACATCTTTATTGAATGAAAATACAATATTTCCTGTCGAATTATCAAGTATAGTGATTGAATAGGTAGCATGTGATAATTGAGGATCTTGTGTAAAATTAGCCCATACAGTTGAAAAATTATTATTTTCAAACGCACATGTTTGACATCCAAGACAGAGATTGATCAAAATGAAAAGATATTTCTAGAGAACAACAAACGCAAAATTTGTTTTTCTTTTTAGGATTTAAAATTTTCTCATTTTCTTACCATTTTTAACCAATATTGAAAACCAATATTGCTATGTGCCTTTCTTAATGCTAATGTATGCGACCAAAATATTATGGGATGAATGAAACTAGTTAAATATTGGATATATACTTGGATTAAATGAAAGAGCAAACATTTTGTTTTTATCCTTTTTCAAAGTAAGATAAGTTTTTTTTATATTTGATCATATCATTACCATCCAGCTCTCACTTCAGCCGATAGAATAAAAAAAGAAATTTTATTCTGTGAAATCTGTTGACTATCAAACGTTTTCAAAAACGAATCTATCACACGACTAGTTACTTATGCGAAATATTATCATACTTAATCCCAACAATTTCGATAAGACTTTATAACTTTATAGAAACAAATTATTATGTCTATTAAAGTTAAATATCTACTCTTCCATTCGTTTTGTTTTTAATATAAATTAAGTAATTGATTCAAAATAATTATTTTCAAGCTTATTTTCATATAATTAATTTAAAAAATATATAATTTATCATCAGAAAACATTTTGTAATAAACAATCGACTACTATCTGATGCTGCGTTTTATTCTATTTTTAAACAATATCACAAAATTCTTTATCTGTAACATTAAAAAAACATATTATAAATTTGAACGAGTAATTTTTTACTAAATCAACGATTGTTTGTTTCTATGGTTTATCATCCAAAGAATTCGGAGCATCTAGAGTGTATGTGTATGTTTGTACGCCGATACGTTGTTGTTGTTGAGCATACTTAACTTCACGTAAGAATCGAAAAACATTGGAATCTATATGACCTATTGTAAGTGCCGAATGTTGAATTAAAAATCTCAAACTAACAAGAAACTGATCAAATCCAATACGAACAAATGGATCAAAACATGCTTGTGGTGCTAATACATTGTAAAGAATTTCTCGTCCGCGTAAATGTTTTCGTGCATATGGTTCATCAGTACCTTGAGAACGTGGATTTGTATAATCCTGAAGTGTTGATACAACAGAACTATCATCTGACATAACAAAAATATATTGATAAGTCGTATCTCGACGTCGTTCTTCATCGACAATACCTTTGACATAAAGAGAAAGATTACGCCAATGTTTATGTTGACGCCAAAATGAATCTTCCGGTGATTTATCACCACGACGAATATATAAGCCAGCAAGTCTATCAAAAACATTAGTTTTAGCTGGAATAGAATATTTGTCAGTTAAATAGCTCAGCCAATGTTCAGTAACTAATTTAACGCCATATTCTATACGTGGAGCATTTTGTGAACCAAAAAATAAAGTAAACATATAACGAAGAAACGAACCAAATACATAATCTGTCCATGTTAATTTATATTGACCAGCATTTGGTAATAGATCAGACGAGAATGCATCTGGCTTATTTCGATCAATCCATTCACCAAGTGAGACATTTTTTTCATTATTCGGTGCATATATATGTTCATCAGAATGGTCGGCAAGAATATGTATCGGAGAATCGTATGAAACCGATGTTTTCTTTCGATCAAATAACCACTTTCGTATAGGTACATGATGATAATCTAGTTTCCAGAATTCGAGTGAGAATAGAGCGCGATCTTCTTTATTATTTCTATTGTTATGTAATTCTTTGCTGGTTTTTATAAGTATTTGATTTGGTGAATCTTCAATACGCTTTTTCAGTTCTGCCATTTCCGGATGATATTCATATGCTGTACAAATTGACATGGGTAAAAAAAAACGTTTAACACCTTGAGCTAAGAAATCATCTACATCTCCGTGTGAACTTGAAAATCTACTTCCACGAAATACAGCTATACGTGGTGTATAGAGAGTTTGACCGAATTGAGCAATAAAACAAAGTACACGACTAAAAAATCCTGACCAATGCTGATGTAGAGCAAAGAGTGATCGTGAACTGCATGTTTTTAATACTTCTGGCTTATTAAGTGATGAGTTTGCAATTCGATTATAATTAGGAAATTGCTTTTGAGTAAGATAATCTATCATAGCACGTTCAGCAGCTTGATTCCATCGAACATCTTTTTGTTTATCCAGCCATAGAATAGGAGTTGATGATTGACGAAATTTGTTTTCATCATAAGGTAAAATTTCTGCTTTATATTCACGTGTAGATAGTGGTTGATTTAGTTCAGTTGGCGAAACTCTATAGTTAACAAATTAATAAATAATTATTTTTCATTCAATTTTTCAAAAGAAAAAGAGCTCAATTGCTATGATGATCAGCGATGACTCAACACGAAAACCAAAGGAATGTAAAACAAGTAGAAAATGTCCTCTCTGTGCTTCTTAGTAAATAAATCATACTTGTAGTAGTGAATAGAACAGAATGAAATAAAAAATAAAAAACAGAATGAGTACAAATATTGGAAAGAGCTCGGAATCTTATGATATAAAATAGTCTGTTTCGTCGAAATATATATTTATTACCTGATAAAGTCATAGGAAAGTCGAGCAAGTTCCTCACGCATTGGCGTATCTATAAAAATGGATGGAATATGTTGTGATTGCATGATTCTTAATATTGAAGATGATGAAGAATCTATTTTATAATTTATATTATAAAAAGATTTGGATGCAAGTAACCATCGTCCAAAGAGTGCATATACAATCGTAGCAACAAGAGCCAAAATACCAAAAATACGAAGATTTGATGAACGAAACAACATGCTCAATCGATATCGTAAGATGCACTATGCCACAGAATGTTTTAAAATGTTCTTTAACAGCTCTGTCGCAAGTAATAAAATACGACGAAGAGAGAAAATATGCTTGCTCTCCGTCTCTCGGCAGATCAAACTTGTAAAGCATAGAGAGAAAGAAAAACACGCTGCAGCAAACATTGTTATGCTGATGAAAAAAAAAATTTCGAGTCAACACTACTAAAGTTTTTATTCATTCTATTAATAATTAAATCGAGAGAAAGACTTTTTTCTTTTTCTCTTGACTTGTTTAATTAAATAGTAGAATTCTGTATGTTCACAATCAATTTAAAAGTAAAATGAAAGAATTATTTATCCTTTCTTTTTGTAAGGAGCCTCTTCAATGATGTGTTTGATCGATAGCGTGTTTGAACAATTATAACATTTAGTATTTGCAATCAATGCAACTGAAAAAAAGACGAAACAAAAGTAGGACCAGAGATGGTTTTAAAGAAAAGTTTTTTTTTTGTTTAATACAGCAAACGGAAAGAAGTACAATATGGGATAGTTTTATTTTATTTTTACTTGAACTATTTTTAATTATAAGAAATGAATACTTTCTTTCCAATGTGAACTCATATGCAGAATGTCTTCTCTTCAAGAAAGGGTAGCAATATTTTTGATCCCCAAAAAAATGACTATTGATCACCAGAATGTGTTAGTTGCGAAATGATCACCAAAAAAATATACCAACGATCCCCAATCTATTTTATTGTGAAATGATCACAAAAAAATATATTCGATCACCGAATTTATTATCAATACAATAAGAGATAGAATAATAAATAACAACTATAGTTACACAAAATACAATAAACAATGGAAACAGAAAATATGTTCTACCAAAATCATGGTAACCATGCTGTTCGAACTTTTTTTTGGTACTTGACATTTTTAGTTTTCTGCATTGTTATGATAGAGCATTTTGTGTAACTATTCCCAGTTAATGAGATCATTTTGATTCAATTATGATTATTGTTTAATTATGTCTTATCAATCTGTTGTCTTTTAAGATAAACACGTTATCTACCACAACTCTACCATTCATTCCACAAAAAGCAAGTTGGGGATCATTTGTATCTTTTCTTGGTGATCATTTCACAATAAAATAGATTGGGGATCATTTGTACATTTGTTTGGTGATCATTTCGCAACGAACACATTTTGGTGATCAATAGTCATTTTTTGGGATCAAAAGTCTATTTACCTTTCAAGAAACCTCAAACTAAAATATTTATTCTTTAGGCAAACTATAACTTAAATGCTATTTGAGTGAAACTCCGTCAAAGAAGATAACTTATCACACTAGTACGGAACATATGAACAGGCGATTTTATATAATATTTTATATTTCTAAATCTTACGTTTACACAGAGAGATAATTAAAATGCACACTAATAAGCGCTATTGAATTTTTGTTTGGCATTGAAAAATGAAAAAAGCCTTATTGAAATTCTTTTTTTCGTGTTCTATTGCTTATTTTTATTTTTATTTTGGTTATTGAAGTGGTATAATTGCAGAGACATATTTTTGTAGAGGATGGAAATGTCATCATCATTAACTCGAAGTTATTAAAACTTTTGATAAAAGCATGTATCTTTAAACTTTTGAAGTTAAAAATTTCACGTGAAGGTTAAATTAGACATATCTGTATTCATTGGTGGCGGAACATCATTAAGTCAGGTGTGGCTCATAATACTTTTTTCTGCCATCTATATTTTTTTAAACCAACAAACAGAATATATAAGTCTTCTTTTTATTAAATTTCCGTAGAAATTAAAATAGTCAATATAGAACAACAATGGTTAGAGAATATCGCAAACATTTTTCTTTCATCATTTGTTGATGCAAAAGTCGAACAAAGACTTTTCAAGCCAATAGAATCTGTATTTTCTTTTTATTTGTTGCAGCGAAAAGTAAAATGTTAATCACCTCTATGACAAACTAGATGGTATCCCAGTTGCACTCATATATGAAATGCGATGCGCAGCAAGAATCCCGATTTTCTACAAAAAATCTTCAATTCAGAGAAATCTTGAATAATCTTTATGTTGACATGATGAAATTCATCGCTGAGAAAACTCTATTCTTACTTAGCGATACATTCTTAAAGATCGAATTCGATTGATCGATTAATTATCGCAATGATTCATTATCTTAGATCAGCTTTAAATGAATAGGATATAGTGGCTAAGATATGTTGATGACGCCACTTTAATTATCTCGCAACAGATTTCTTTCATTTTCGTCATTTTGGAAATCAATTTCTGAGTGAACCGAACTTCAGATTGAAGATTCGAAAACAGGTGTTATAAGTTCGATCTCGATACCTCCACATGACGTTTTAACTACTTTTCTACGATTTTGTGTTCTCAAGATCATCGCGTCACAAAATGATGAAAAAGATACGTACGTCGAGAAAGAAAAAGAAAAAGAAAACACACGACGGACTACATAAATGCTATGCTTCGCTTCGTAGTAATAAAAATCTTGTTTTTTTGCCTCTACATTTTATGATGCAAGATGAAGATTTCAAAGTAAACTAGTCCTAGACTGGCATGCCCACATTCAATTTTTAAGACTTCAGGAGAGTGTAACTGCGAGTGTGATTATTGAACTGGTTGAAATCAGAATCTTCGATTTTTCTTATAAGAAGTAGTGGAAAAACAAGATTATAATTTCCGGTGTAACATATAAATATATGTGTGTGTGTGTGTGTGCGTCCAAAAGAAACGCTATTTAAACGAATTTGTGTCATCTGTACGATGAAAGAATAATGCACATAAAAAGACATCAGATACAAATGAATCACTCTATAACATAGATATATGTGAAAATATGTATTTGCATGCATTAGATATTTAACATAACACAACCTGAGAATAAAAAATTTTCTTCTAAATTTTTATGAATGAAGATGATCGGAGAAGCATATTAATTTATCTTTCATTGAAAAACTTAGAATCAGCATGTGGTGAGTGCTAGCCTAGATTTGACTGAATTTTAATGCAAATGCAATCATTTTTAATAAAATTAAAAAAATACATCTTTTTAAAGGAAAAACACATTTTATTTCAAGAAAGATAAATCGAACAAGAATCATATTTTCTTTTCTAGTATTTCACATCTTTTCATAAAACAAGACTGAATCTAAATATGATGTAAATGAAGATTCGAGAAATTCATTTGATTTTTCTTTTCAATATTATTATAATCTTTGTATATAATACACGTGAATAAAACAACCAAAATGAAATGAAATGAAATGAACAAAAGCTAATGGAAGACAAGCATACAAGCACTCATATAAGAATGGAAAAATCTGACAATTGAAGAAACAAAAAACAAGAAAAGAAAAGAATAATCGCTATCTACTGCTCATAAACAAATACTTCACAAAGAACAGCAGTGAATAGTTTGTTCCATCTATCAGTTGAACCATCGGCTTCAATATAAACAAAACGGCCACGTAGTGGACGTTGACATTGAAAATGAAGACGAGATGACGACGTCAATGCTTGATCTGTACGCGTTATAAATGAACATAAATTTGTATCTTTAAAACGATATCGACGTGGTCGTAAATGAACATAAACATTGTATCGATCTAAATTTGCTAAATAATCTCGATAAACCGACGATGATATGGATGAATTGATTGCTAAAAAATAGTCAGATGGAAAGAATATTTTAGACGTTTTTTGTTTAGTTTTGTTGTTTGTCTATACCTTTATTATTACCATGCCATGTTCTTAACATAACGCCGGCTACATCTGTTTCTCGACCTAAATCAACCATCCAAAGTGGTTTTCGAACAAAATAATTATCAATCGTAGCACATTTCGACCAATCTAACGATTCTTCTAAACCATCAACAGCTAATGATGGATCACCATTTGTTTCTCTTGCACTACGAAATTTCAGTTCACCTACAGCATTATTCTGTTGTTGACGACGATTTCGATCATTGGTCCATGTTTGTTTTTTATACGCCATATTTTCCACTAAAAAAAATAAAACCAAATTCATCAAAAATACTAGTTGGAGAAAAAGAAACAAATAAGCTATCTTACCGCATTGAGCTTCACTATTTACACGAAAATAGCCTGGAAAACAAGATCCTAAACAGAAAGCAAAAGTATGAATTTACTTTTTTTTAACTAAAAAAGTAAAAGAATTACCTTGATGTGGACATCCTAAGATAGCAGCTCGCATACTAACATGATTGTGCCATTCAGTTGGATGTAAACGAACAAATCGTGCAAAAAATGGTTCATTTAAAAAATGTATACGTTCACTGTCACGATCATTGTTGGCAGCAAACTCCTTAAAATAAGAACTTATCACGTAGAAAAAATTGGTTTTCAAAAAAACACAAACCTTAGGTTCTATTTGTGCTTTATCTTTATAATAGACCCATAGACGTGTATCATTGGAAAATGAAACTTTATATTTTGTAACCCATTGGTCTTGAATTGTGTCACCTCGACCTTTCGTTATCAATGATGTAACAATCGATGGATGACCCAAATCGAATTCAAGCCATTGATCATTTTCTAAACATAATAATTTATCGTAGAAAAATAGTTTCATCGTTTTTATTTTCGAAACTAACTATATCTTTTTCTCGAACACCATCCTTTGTTACTCATTAAATAGCCATCTTCTGGTTGACATGATGCATGCCGACGATATGGCCACGAAGTTGATGCACTGATCTTTCCATATGGTGGCAAACCCAAATATTGTTTACACTCTAGAGTATGTAAGTTGAAAAAAAAAGAAATTGATCGAATGAAGACCTATAGTATGAATCAAACCTTGACATCCAATAATTTCTACTCTTAAAGATGGATGGGATTGCCATTGAATTGGATGAAATTTTATAAATCGTGCAAGAATTGGTTCATCGAAATAATTATGACGCACTGAATATGAATCTGTATTTGCAGAAAATATCTAATCAA